TCAAGAGAATCAGGCAGCAAGGCCCTGTTAGGAAAGGAGTGTAACTGGGCAGTTCTGAATGGGGGCTGTGTATCCAGGGAAGACGGAAAGCATGGGTGGGGGAGGGGCTCCGTAGCCAAGCACCTTACCCGGTCCCCAGACACCGGCATCCACCTACAGCCCCATTCTTTAAGTCATTTACATGGTCACATGCTCCTCGGGACACTGGCCCTTTCAAAGTCTAACCCCAACATGGATCCAGTGCATTTCCTCCTTCCATGCCCTGCACTCCCATTCATCCCGCCAGCCCCTCGCCTGCCTGCCACACCTTCCCTCTCCCAAGACACTCACATATGTGCCCACCTGCACCCAGAGTCCTGGGTCCAGGAACTAACGCCTCATTCCTAGCACCCGCAAAAGCACTCCCTGCCTCTTCCCTCCTCTCTGCCTGGCCCTCCTTGATCTTTTACCCACCCACTTTGTAGGTTGCCAGCTCATCCCGAGTCCCACGGGCTTCAGGGCCTGGGGACGAGTAGCCTTGCTCTCTCAGAAACCACAGGCCCCAGAATGGTCTGGGCGGAGCCCTCAGCGGCCTGCACCTCCGTCGGCCCTCGGAGTATGCTTTCCTGCACAACAAACTTCCGAGATCTTTGGAGATCCAGAGGCGGCAGCTGGACAATCACGTCTCGGTCGCACGCGCACCTCCCCGCCTTCTCCCGGATCCCTCGGTCCTTTCCTCGCGCCTCGGCTGCTCCGAGGGTTAACAGGCAGCTGCAGCCCTGGTGGAAGGCTTGAACTTTTCTCTGCAGCTCCCGCTGCCCGCTCCGGGAAGGCAGCAGAGGCGGCAGTCGGGGTCTCGAGCCGGGGCTCCAGCTGGCTGCACAAGGCGGGGGCGTGCTGGGGCCTCGTCCCTGGTTCGGGGCGGGAGGACGCGCTCTGGGCTCCAGTACGGGGAGGAAAAGAACTCTCCGATGCGGGCGCTGCCAGGGTCGGCGCCTTTGAGACAGACAGCATGAGCCGGGCTGCAGCGTCTGGGCTGGCGGAGCTCTGCGCGCCGCGGGGCTAAGGAGGGGCCCGGCGCCCGGAAGTCGGCGATGCCAGGCCGGCCTCTCCAGCCCGGCAGCCCGCAATCCGGACCGGAGCTGGCGCTTCCCCTGTTCGGCGCTGGCTGGGGAAACCACGATTCCGCTGGAGTCGCCTCCAACTGAGTCTTTTCTCCGATACATGAGCCACCGAGGAGGAGGCGAATCAAAGTTACCCCACTTGATGTAGGCGAGAATGTCGCCCTCATTGCCGGAAAGAAAGGGGGGACTCGGGAGCCTCTCCTCCTCCCCTGAACGTCACCACACACACACACACACACACACACACACACCGGAGTGGAAACCGCCCCCCCCCCCCCGCGGCCCCCGAGATCTCTGGGCTAGGAATGACCTCCTCGAGCTCCCAGGCTTTCTTGCCGCCGCCGCGCCCCACAGTCCCGACCCGCGAAAGCTCCCCCTCTCCCCTGCCGGCGCCAGACGATCGAATGCAGAAAACGGGGCGGGGGCCCCCTGGCTGCCCTCTCTCCCTACCTGGGACAGGAGAACGCACAGGAGGAGCGGAGTTCTCGGCTGATTTTGCCCGACTAGAGAGCGCCCGGCGGCGTTTTCATTCATGCACTTGGCTGCATCTGGGATGCTATTTTCCGTGGGAGTTCAGCTTTGAGGAGAGGCTCTGCCTCACCAGCCAGCCAACTCCACTAGATCAGCGGCAGCATCACGAAAGCATTGGGTAGCTGATGACCAGGACCAATGGCTTTACAAGACGGATTCTTCATAAAGCTCCTCGTTTTGCATGGGATACAGGGCCAGCACTCGCACAGAGCTTGAGCCCCTCGGAGGAGGCAGCCCTTTTGCCTTTTTTTTTGGACTGTTAATTGGCAGCTCACCAAATCAGCCAAGCATCAACGCCCAGCCGAATCCATCTTTTGCAGAGAATGGAATTGCACCGGGGACGGCAAACTCCAGCCCAGTGCAAAAGATTCTCTTTATTAAATGTTAATAAGATCCACTTTATTTCCCAATAAACAAATAAAATGACGTAAGTTCTGTTCTCCCTCTCCAGCCTCTGAAAGACTTGCGGTGGATTTCCTTCTCCTTTCTTTTCTTTTTTTTCTTCTTTTTTCCAACTGTGGCCCAAGTCATGATGGTGTTTGGTGTTTCCTTGCCATCTCAAAATCACAACGACAGATCAATTCCTAGCTTGCAGAAAAAAAAAAATCCATCAAGGGCAATAGATTTTATTAACTGCTCAGAGAATCTGACTGGTCACGCATACCTTAAAATGTGCATCTGGCACCAAAGTTGGAGCCATGATTTAAGGAAACTTTTTTTTCCTATATGGATGTGATTTTTCAGAAGTTCCTACCCATCCCCAGGAATGGGGGATAGTCATGGCCACTGCTCAAGGTGAATTTTATAGTGGGGTGCTATGGGAATGAGGGTCAGAGGAATATATAGGTCTGCCTTCCCAGTAAGAATCTAAGACTATGCAGTAAAGATCTCACTTTGTCATTTCCATGCAGCCTCCTTCTAAAATGATGTAGTTATTTTAAAATAAAAGGAAATTTCTGCAATAGAACGATGCAACCGAAATTGAAATCTAGACTGGGGAAAATTTAAAACCCTGAAATGCTAAACCTAAGCTTTAATATATTTGCTCTGATTTGGATCTGGAGCTTAAACTGTCCCAAAGCAATAAAAACATGTAAATTACATAGTTCTTATTTTGAAAAAAAGTATACAAATATCCACTGGCAAAATTTCCTCCCCAGAGCTAAATTCTCTAGAATAAAATGTATTATGTGATATCTAATAGAACAGGACACAGAGCAATGGGACCATGAGATCCAATAGATCATGGTGTATTCCCAGCATCCTAGCACAGGGTCTAAAACATGAAGACGCATTACATGCCTGTGAAATAGATGTCTGTAGACTTATCCAATGGCAGGAGGAAGGAGTGGGACAATGAGTCTAGAGCTACACTGCCTAGCTTAACCCCAGCCCTGCTACCACATGAGTAAGTTACTCAAACCCTCTGTGCCTCTGTTTGTCCACTGGTGAAGAAAATATAAATCAATGAACTTATAAGGTGGTAAGGATTAAGGACAAAATAACTACTCAACTAAATGTAAAACTGATGAACTTTGTAAATTCTTCATTGCCAGCTGTTGAGTCACAAGATTGCCTCACATGGCCCCAAGGTGACTGCTGGGGCCCTGGCTGTGTTAGCTGGAGCTGGCCCATCAGATGGCAATGTTGGCCAACAACCTCCAGAAAAGCCCAGGAAAGGTGCATCTTGATGCTTCTTCCGGTCTCTTCAACTTTCCACTGTCTCTTGCCTAGCTAGGCACTGATCCTGAGCCTTTGAGAGTTGCAGTCACACTGTTTGGATAGATACGATTGTCCCAGCTTGGAATTCGTGCATTGGAAACTCTACACCAAACCTGCCTACTGGTAAAGTAAAAGGGGATTTTGAGTCAGGCAGCCTCACATCAAGGCATCCTGAAATGTTTTTTCTCCATCAGCAGGCAGGAGCCATCTTGTCAGTCATGGACTCGTCTCTAAGCCCATGGATTCAGCAGACACAAAGGCAGCAGAGCAGAGGACAGCTTGGGAGATGATAGACCACTTAAGGGATAAAGATGGCGAAAGTGATGGCCAGCCATGTTTCTGCACGAGCAGTCCCGGCTTGGGGAAGCAGTCCAAGGGGAGTGTGCAAGGCTGCACTTGCCCGCCCTGTGGTCAGCATGGGGCTGTGTGACCGCCTAGCCATAGTTGTGAGCAGAAGTGGCAGGTGCCACCAAGCTGGAGCATTTAATCAGCAGGGTGAGACAGGTGGTTTCCAGAATAGGGCTGAGATGGAAATCTGTGCAGGTGACTTGCTCAGAGTGTCCTCAGAACAACAACTGCAAAAAGGAAGGAAAACAAGATTGGCAGGGGGATTGCAGTGGCCTTAGATGCCTCAGCTGCAGTCCCAGGGGAACTCTGAGGCTGGGAGGCCTTCCACTCGAGACGACCCTAAGAGAGTCGGGGGCTGCTGTCTTTGTGCTCCAGTAGGGTCCTTGTTGCTGGTTCTCCCAAGAACAGAATAACCTTAGGGTGAGAGAGCTTGGTTCGTGCAAGGGCAATCTTCCAGTCTGACCTCAGCTTCATCATCTACAGAAAATGAATGTGGTGACCCACAAAAGGTAACCGAGGCTGTATTCCCAGATTGTGATGGACTACATGCACCTGATGATACCAGTGAAGGTAGATGCAGATGGAGAATCTGCTGACTCCATCTCCAGCCACGGACCGTCAGGCATTCCACGAAGGTCCTGGGCTTTTGTCCTGGTTGTTCTACCAGCAGGCAGAGTGGCTCCCAGCCAACCACACCTGATTCCAAGTGAAGCATGCCCAAAGGGCCACTCCCATCCTCATGATAGCCCCACAGCTTATATTTTAAGGGTCAGAGAGTTAACTTCAAGAGTCTTCTTTGGCCTTAAGGCTCACCGTTAAACCCCATTTGGCCAGGAAGGTATAATGATTCTGTCTGCAAAATGAGACCTGGATTGGGAACTCAGATTCCACTTTACATTGGAAGGCAAGTTGCTTTTACTCCCCAGGCTCATTTATTCATCAATAAAATGGAAGGATAATATAATAGCACTCCAAGGATTACGAAAAGCTGGATGTACCTTTCCCTCAATCCCTACTCTACCTCTACTCAGAGAACATTTACTTCTAACCAAACACAGGATGTCAGGTTTTGTCCAACAAAGACAGGAGAAACTCATTTCACTCTGGTGGTAAAAGGTCTCTAAGAAGAAATTCATTTTTGTTGGTTTTGCATTGTTTTTCCTTCAACTCCCTAATGGGATTCTTGGTCATTTAGGATGCACTGATGGCAGCAAGTGAGCATCTAGGCTGAAACCACCCCTCATAACCCCTGCTTTTACCTTCCCTCTAGGCCAGCACCCTCCAAGAAGCGCCCAGGCTTTGTGTTCCAAATGCAGACCCCCAACCTGGGGTCTGATGTGAAATAATCCAACATCCAGGAGCTGTATCCTGAGAAGCCAGGATTAAAATTTTGTCTCTCCTGACTGACATGGATGAAGGCATCATTTCTGGCTGTGTGAAGGAGGCCGTGTGTGTGTGTGTGTGTGTGTGTGTAGTGTGTAGCTGCCACAAATTGGTTGGTATTATGTGTACAAGCACATGGACGTGGGTGTATGGCAAGGGGGTAACTGCTGTATCTTCCAGAAGAGGCAGCTTTACTCAAGTTTGGGTACCTCTGAATATGCTGGTGTAATGAGGCATTTGCATCATGGAACAAGGAAAAAAACCAGATGAGATGCCACTATATCGACACAACAGTTATCGGCTATGCTAGGAGCCCTGATAATTAAGTATATTTGGACAGAAAGAGGGAAGCCCACACTGCACAGCAGAACAATAGTGTAAGGCTGAAGCTACATCCTCCCAATGGGACCTCGGCCAAAACCACTAAAGATTATGACAATACACCATCCCACCATAACGGTCACCCAAAGTAGTGTCCTGATTGTTCTTGAGCCATGAACTTGTTTTATGTTTTTCATGCCTTTGTGTTGCTTATTATTATACCATAAGTGGTCACTTTGCTCAGTTCTTCACTCCACCTGCATCTACACCTTCACCCCTGGGTTTCCACCATGATGTTGATGTGGCCAATGGAATGAGGCAGAAGTGACGATGTGCACTAAAAAACCCAGGCCCCAAGAGTCCTGTGTGTTTCAGCTTGCTGTCACTAGGAACATTCCAAAGGAAATGCCTTCAGAGGAACATTCAGGTATCTCATTGGTTGTAGGAGAAAGACCTCCAAAACCCAGAGGTGCCTGGCAGAGCCCCACCTAGTCATTTAACCTATAGGTATGTGAAGTAAAAACAAATAATTGCTCTAAATTTGGATGTGTGATTAGTTTATGACCTATAGCAAAAAATCCAACCCAATTACATTTGTTTGTTGTCTACTCTCTGAAATGCAGGTAAGTCTGTCTTTTGTTTCTTCTGTATGCTCACGCTCAGCTTGCCTGTTTTACAGTAGGTGCCCAAATGACTTTACTGAGAAGATAAAATTTAGTGGCTTTCTGAATCAATTGTACTGATGTGTGATGCTGATGGGAAACCCACCCCTCTACATATACTTCCTACCAGAAATACTTCCCGATGTTGACAGTTCAATCCTCTCCTTGCAGACCCTCTCATAATCCTTGACAGTCTCCACTCCCATGTGGCCATCCACCATCCTACAACAAGGCAAGGTCTTCTTACAATAGTCTAGACCAGGATTAGCAAAGTAAGGAACATTCCACAGAGGCTATAGTGTGAGCTACGTAGGTGCTTAGAGATTCTTGGTGAAGAATCTGTTGGGGAAGGGTGTGACTCTTCTTTCCTCAAGCATGGGTGGGGGAGGGGCTCCGTAGCCAAGCACCTTACCCGGTCCCCAGACACCGGCATCCACCTACTAGCCCCCACTTTAAGTCATTTACATGGTCACTGCGTTCCTGGGACACTGGCCCCTTTCCAAAGTCTAACCCCAACATGGATCCAGCAGTGGCCTCCCTTCGATGCCCTGCACCCCCACATCCCTGCCAGCCCTCGCCTGGGATCCTGCCTGCCTCACCTTCCCTCTCTCCCGCACACTCACATATGTGCCCAGGCCCCTGGCACCCAGGAGTCCTGGCCAGGAACTCAACGCCCATTCCTAGCACCCGAAAGCACTCCCTGCCTCCTTCCCTCCTCTCTGCCTGGCCCTGCCTTGATCTTACCCACCCACTTGTAGGCTGCCAGCTCATCCCGAGTCCCACGGGCTTCAAGGGAAGCCTCGGGGACGGAGTAGCCTTGCTCTCTCAGAAACCACAGGCCCCAGAACAGGGCTGGGCGTGCCCCTCAGCGGCCCGCACCTCCGGTCGGGCCTCCTCGGAGTATGCTTTCCTGCACACAAACTTCCCGAGATCTTGGAGATCCAGAGGCGGCAGCTGGACAATCACGTCTCGGTCGCACCGCACCCCCCCGCCTTCTCCCGGATCCCCGGTCCTTCCCTCGCGCCTCAGCGCTCCGAGGGTTAACAGGCAGCTGCAGCCCTGGTGGGCAAGGCTTGAACTTTTCTCTGCGCTCCGCGCCCGCCCGGGAAGGCAGCAGAGGCGGCAGTCGGGGCTCCGAGCCGGGGCTCCAGCTGGCTGCACAAAGGGGGCGCGGGGGGCTGGGGCCTGCGTCCTGGCGGGGGGCGGGGGAGGACGCGCTCTGGGCCCGAGGTCGGGGAGGAAAAGAACCCCGATGCGGGCGCGGCCAGGGTCGGCGCCTTTGAGCGACAGCAGCAGCCGGGCTGCAGCGCTGGGCTGGCGGGAGGCGCCTTCCTGCGCGCCGCGGGGCTGGGCGAGGGGGCCCGGGCGCCCCGGGAAGTCGGCGATGCCAGGCCGGCCTCTCCAGCCCGGCAGCCCGCAATCCGGACCGGAGCTGCGCTTCCCCCTGTTCGGCGCTGCGCTGGGGAAACCACGACTCGCTGGAGTCGCCTCCAACTGAGTCTTTCTCCGATACATGAGCCACCGGAGGAGGAGGCGAATCAAAGTTACCCCACTTGATGTAGGCGAGAATGTCGCCCCTGCTTGCGGAAAAGAAAAGGGGGGGACTCGGGAGCTCTCTCCTCCTCCCCTGAACGTACACACACACACACACACACACACACACACACACACCGGAGTGGGAAACCGCCCCCCCCGCGCCCCGAGGATCTCTGGGGCTGGGAATGACCTCCCTTCGAGCCCCAGGCTTTCTTCGCCGCCGCGCCCCACAGTCCCCCGACCCGCGAAAGCCCCCTCTCCCTGCCGGCGCCAGACGATCGGAATGCAGAAACGGGGCGCGGGGCGCGCCCGGCTGCCCCTCTTCCCTACCTGGGACAGGAGAACGCACAGGAGGAGCGGAGTTCTCGGCTGCATTTTGCCCGACTAGAAGCGCCCGGCGGCGTTTTCATTCATGCACTTGGCTGCACTGAGCATATTTTCCGTGGGAGCCAGGCTTTGAGGAGAGGCTCTGCCTCACCAGCCAGCCAACTTCCCAAATAGATCAGCGGCAGCATCACGAAAGCATTGGGTAGAGGCTGATGACCAGGACCAATGGCTTTACAAGACGGATTCCTTCATAAAGCTCCCTCGTTTTGCATGGCAGATACAGGGCGAGCACCTCGCACAGAGCGAGCCCCTCGGAGGAGGCAGCCCTTTTTGCCTTTTTGGACTGTTGGGGCCCAGCCTCACAAATCACGCTGGGCAACGCCAGCCGAATCCACTTTTGCAGAGAATGGAATTGCACCGGGGACGGGCGAACACTTCCAGCCCAGTGCAAAAAGATTCTCTTTATTAAAATGTTAATAAGATCCACTTTATTTCCAATAAATCAAATAAAATGACCCCAGCAGTTCCAGCCCTCTCCACGCCTGGAAAGACTTGGCGGTGGATTTCCCCCCCTTTCTTTCTTTTTCTTTTTTTTCTTTTTTTCCAACTGTGGCCCAAGTCATGATGGTGTTTGGTGTTTCCTTGCCATCTCACAAATCACAAATACGACAGATCAATTCTAGCTTGCAGAAAAAAAAAATCCATCAAGGGGCAATAGATTTTATTAACTGCTCAGGTGAGAATCTGACTGGCCGCCTACTCCACAAATGTGCATCTGGCACCAAAGTTGGAGCCATGATTTAAGGAAACTTTTTTTTTTCCTATATGGATGTGATTTTTCAGAAGCTCCTACCTATCCCCAGGGAATGGGGGATAGTCATGGCCACTGCTCAAGGAATTTTATAAGTGGGGTGCTATGGGAATGAGGGTCAGAGGAATATATAGGTCTGCCTTTCCCAGTAAGAATCTAAGACTATGCAGTAAAGATCTCACTTTGTCATTTCCATGCAGCCTCCTTCTAAAAATGATGTAAGTTATTTTAAAATAAAGGAAATTTCTGCAATAGAACTGATGCAACCGAAATTAAAAATCTAGACTGGGAGGAAAAATTCAAAAACCTGAAATGCTAAACCTAAGCTTTAATATATTTGCTCTGATTTGGATCTGAGCTTCCTGGTGCCCAAAGCAATAAGAAACATGTAAATTACATAGTTCTTATTTTAGAAAAAAGTATACAAATATCCACTGGCAAAATTTCCTCCTAGAGCTAAATCCTAGAATAAATGTATTATGTGATATCTAATAGAACAGGACACAGAGCAATGGACCATGTGGAGATCCAATAGACTGGGGTGTATTCCCAGCATCTAGCACAGGGCCTAAAACATGAAGACGTCATTACTGCCTGTGAAATAGATGTCTAGACTTAATCAATCTAAGTGGCAGAGGAAGGAGTGGGACAATGAGTCTAGAGCTACACTGCCTAAGCTTAACCCCCAGCCCTGCTACCAATGAGTAAGTTACTCAAACCCTCTGTGCCTCTGTTTGTCCACTGGTGAAATGAAAATATAAATCATATGAACTTATAAGGTGGTGGCAAGGATTAAGTGACAAAATAACTACTCAATAAATGTAAACCGATGCACTTTGTAAAATTCCTTCATTGCCAGCTGTTGAGTCACAAGATTGCCTCACATGGCCCCAAGGTGACTGCTGGGGGCCTCCTGGCTGTGTTAGCTGGAGCTGGCCCATCAGATGGCAATGTTGGCCAAACAACCTCCAGAAAAGCCCAGGAAAGGTGCATCTTGATGCTTCTTCCGGTCTCTTCAACTTTCCACTGTCCTCTTGCCTAAGTAGGCACTGATCCTGAGCCTTTGAGAGTTGCAGTCACACTGTTTGATAGATACGATTGTCCCAGCTTGGAATTCGTGCATGTGGAAACCTACACCCAACCTGCCTACTGGTAAAGTAAAAGGGGATATTTTGGAGTCAGGCAGCCTTCACATCAAGGCATCCTGAAATACCCTGGTTTTTTCTCCATGCCACAGCAGGAGCCATCTTGTCAGTCATGGACCAGCTGAGCTAAGCCCATGGATTCAGCAGACACAAAGGCAGACAGAGAGCAGAGGACAGCTTGGGAGATGATAGACCACTCTAAGGGATAAAGATGGCGGAAATGATCCAGCCATGTTTCCACAAGCAGTCCCTCGGTTGGGGAAGCAGTCCTAAGGGGAGGGTGTGCAAGGCTGCACTTGCCCGCCCCCCTGTGGTCAGCATGGGGCTGTGTGACCCGTTCTAGCCAATAAGCTGTGAGCAGAAGTGGCAGGTGCCACTCCAAGGCTGGAGCATTTAATCGCCAGGGTGAGACAGGTTGGTTTCCCCAGAATAGGGGCTGAGATGGAAATCTGTGCAGGTGACTTGCTCAGGAGTGTCCTCAGGAACAACAACTGCAAAAGGAAGGAAAACAAGATTGGCAGGGGGGATTGCAGTGGCCTTAGATGCCTCAGCCAGTCCCAGGGGAACTCTGAGGCTAGGGAGGCCTTCCACTCAGAGACGACCCTAAGAGAGTCGGGGGCTGTGTCTTTGTGCTCCAGTGGGTCCGTTGTTGGCTGTTCCCCAAGAACAGAATAACCTTAGGTGAGAGAGCTTGGTTCGGCCAAGGGCAATCTTCCAGTCTGACCTCAGCTTCATCATCTACATAGAAAATGAATGTGTTGACCCACAAAAGGTAACCGGAGGCTGTGATTCCCAGATTGCTGATGACCACATGCACCTGATGATACCAGTGAAGGTAGATGCAGATTTGTGAGAATCTGCTGACTCCATCTCCAGCCAGGACCTGTCAGGCATTCACGAAGGTCCTGGGCTTTTGTCCTGAGTTGTTCTACCAGCAGGCAGAGTGGCTCCAGCCAACCACACCTGATTCCAAGTGAGCATGCCCAAAGGGCCACTCCCATCCCTTCATATTTCAGTCCCCACAGCTTATATTTTAAGGGTCAAGAGGAGTTAACTTCAAGAGTCTTCTTTGGCCTTAAGGCTCACCGTTAGAAACCCATGAAGGCTAGGAAGGTGGAAAAGATTTGTCTGCAAAATGAGACCTGGATTGGGAACTCCAGATTCCACTTACATTGGGCAAGTTGCTTTTACTCCCCCAGGCTCAGTTTATTCATCAATAAAATGGGAAGGATAATATAATAGCACTCCAAGGATTGCTGTAAAAGTGGATGCTACCTTTCCCCTCAATCCCCTACTCACCTCTACTCTCAGAGAACATGCATTTAACCAAACACAGGATGTCAGGTTTTGTCCAACAAAGACAGGAGAAAACTCATTTCACTCTGGTGGTAAAAGGTCTCTGAAGAAGAAATTCATTTTTGTTGGTTTTGCATTGTTTTCCCTTCAACTCCCTAATGGGATTCTTTTGGCCGACGGATGCACTGATGGCAGCAAGTGAGCACTGAAGCTGGAAACCACCCCCTCATAACCCCTGCTTTACCTTCCCCTAGGCCAGCACCCCCCTCCAAGAAGCCCAGGCTTTGTGTCCAAATGCAGACCCCCGAACCTGGGGTCTGATGAAATAATCCAACATCCAGGAGCTGTATCCTGAGAAGCCAGGGATTAAAATTCTTGTCTCTCCTTGACTGACATGGATGAAGGCATCATTTCTGGCTGTGTGAAGGAGGCCGTGTGTGTGTGTGTGTGTGTGTGTGTGTGTGTGTGCGCGCGCGCGCGCACTGGTTGGGTATTATGTGTACAAGCACATGGACGTGGGTGTATGGCAAGGGGGTAACTGCTGTATCTTCCAGAAGAGACGCTTTACTCAAGTTTGGGTACCCTCTGAATATGCTGCTGTAATGAGGCATTTGCACAGAACAAGGAAAAACCAGATAGATGCCCTTATACGACACAACAGTTATCGGCTATGCCAGGAGCCCTTGATAATTAAGATATATTTGGACAGAAAGGAGGGAAGCCCACACTGCACAGCAGAACAATAGTGTAAGGCTGAAGCTACATCCCTCCCAATGGGATCGCCCGCTAAAACCACTAAAGATTATGACAATACACCATCCCACGATACCTGGTCACCCAAAGTAGTGTCCGGGATTGTTCTTGAGCCATGAACTTGTTTTATGTTTCTTCATGGCCCTTTGTGTTGCTTATTATTATACCATAAGTGGTCACTTTGCTCAGTTCTTCACTCCAACCTGCATCTACACCTTTCACCCCTGGGTTTCGCCACATGAATTTGATGTGGCCAATGGAATGAGGCAGAAGTGACGATGTGCCACTTAAAAACCCAGGCCCCAAGAGGCCCTGTGTGTTTCAGCTTGCTGTCACTAGGAACATTCAAAGGAAATGCCTTCAGAGGAACATTCATGGGTTATCTCATTGGTTGTAGGAGAGAAATGACCTCCAAAAACCCAGAGGTGCCTGGCAGAGCCCCACCTAGGTCATTTAACCTATAGGTATGTGAAGTAAAAACAAATAATTGCTCTAAATTTGGAGGTGATTAGTTATATAGCAAAACCTAACCAATAATTACATTTGTTTGTTGTCTACCTCTCTGAAATGCAGGTAAGTCTGTCTTTTTGCTTCTGTATGCTCAGCTTCTAGAACACTGGTTTACAGTAGGTGCCCAAATGACTTTTACTGAGAAGATAAATTAAGTGGCTTCTGAACTAAACAATGTGTGATGCTGATGGGAAACCCACCCCCTACATATACTTCCCTACCAGAAATACTTCCTGATGTTGACAGTTCAATCCTTCCTTGCAGAAAGTATCCTATAACTTTGACAGTCTCCACTCCCATGTGGCCATCCAATTCATCCTACAACAAGGCAAGGTCTTCTTACAATAGTCTAGACCAGGATTAGGCAAAGTAAGGAACATTCCACAGAGGCTATAGTGTGAGCATGTAGGTGCTTAGAGATCTTTGGTGAAGAATCTTTGGTTAGAAGGTGTGACTCCTTCTGACTTTTCCTCAAAGGATGAAGAGCCCAGACAACTAAGAATAAGACAGAAAACACTCCTTTAGCTTTTGGGGTACTGTATTAATACAGTGTCCTCCGTGAATACAA